ACATTTTTATTTCTTGGATTTTAGATCATTTTTTGGTACAATCCTATACGATATTCATATCAATCGACTTTTTTGATCTATCCACCTATGTTTTTTCCATTTTCCCGAGAATCTCAAAAATCATTGAAAATTGAGCTGTTCGGCATTTTCAGCTTTTTGACCTTTTTAAACTCATTTTTCAATGTTTTCGAAAACTCAAAAACCAGTTTGTAGATCAAAAAAATCGCTATCGATTGGTATAAATATCATAAGGGGTTGTTTCAGAAAATTTGGCTCAAAAACTGAAAAATAAACTCGAATTTTCACTATGAAAACTGAGTTTTCCAGGTTTTCAGCCAACTTTTCTGGCGAAACCCTATATGATATTTACACCAATCGATAGAGAATTTTTCGATTTTTTTTTATAATTAAAAAAAAGGTCCTAGATGCTCCTCCATCCCAACTCCTCCCCATCGGTACTTATCCCTCTTTTTTCACACCTTTTCCGTGTCATCCACACCTATCCTTCACCACCCATTTTCCCTTTTCTTCCATCGAAAATCGAACAAGAAACGCATGATGTGTCATCCCTGAAATCTCCACTTTACCATGCACACCTTACCTTTTTTATCTTATGTTTTCTTCATTCAAAATGGCTTCTGCGGAAAAAAAGAAACGTTTTTTTTTGTTATGCTGTCGTTTTGTGTTTTTCACTTGGTTGACTGGAATCACATCGGAGAATACTAATTGGGAGCACTTGCACAGAAAAAATAAGCACGAGAGACTGTGCATTGAGGGGGAGACGCAGAGAAAACTTTTCTCTGCGTCTCTCTATCCTACACACTCTCTATGTCCATCACATATAAAAGGAGACCTGGAAAGACAAAGAAATGTTTCAGAGAAATCGTCGACGCCCTCATCGGAATTGATTGACGTGTCATCACTAGGTACCGTATCCCTTTCTGTGTTTCCTAACGCTTTTTGGGGGAGCTTTGGGTGGTGAGAAAGAAATCTAACACTTTGCAAGTGCGCTCCACTGCACTGTCAGTGGAGCGCGTTTTCCTTTTTGTTGAACTATCCAAACCTCCCCTTCGAGCTCTGGGAAGAAATTACAAAACCGTTTTTGATTTTTCAGGTGGATTCCCATTGGGAGTGTTCCTCACAGTCATCATGATTCTCATCCTTATCTTCGCCCTTTGTTGCCTACCAATTTGTGTATACAAGGCGACTCAGAAGAGGAAATTGGAGGAGGAGAACCGGAAGAGGATTAATGATGTGAGTTTGGGGGTTTAGAGAAAAGAAAAAATGATTTGCACTCGCGGGGGGTTGAACCCGCGATGCGAGATTGGTAAACGGCAGCGCTAACCGCTAGGCCGCGAGGCGCATCTGAGAAAAGAGAGGGAGGGCGTAGAGGTGCGTGCTGAGTGGCGCCCCCTTTCAAGAAAGAGGGGGGGGGAGCTATATGAATTTTCCACAATCACATTTTCCAGGAAAAAACCACCCTCCTTGAAAATGGAAACGGACATACTCCGACGGTTCATCCGATCGTTGAATCGATTGAAATGGTGGAGACACCGAAAGAAGAGAAAAAAGAGATAGTGGAGGGAGTAGAGGAGCCGAAAGAAGAGGAAAAGGTTGTGGAAGAGATTGTTGTGCCTCCAAAGCTTCATGACTTCCCGATCAGTGATTGCAGGGTAAGGGATGCCGTTTTATTAGGGAGATGGGCATGGAGAAATGATGATATCCGGACGTACAGAATCCAAATTTTAGGATACTTGATTTCTGGAAGCCTGGAAATCCGGACTTCCAGATACTCGAACATCTGGAATTCCGGACATCCGAACATTCGAATGTTCTAAAGTTCGGACGTCCGGATATTCAGATATTTGTAGTTCCATCCGCACATTCGGATATCCGAATCTTCTAAAATTCGGACATTCGGACATTCGGAAATCCAGAAACTCGGGTTTTTGGACATCTAGACATACAGACATACAGACACACAGAAATTCGGAAATTCAAATATTGGGAGGTCTGGATGGCTGGACATCCGGACATCCAGACTTTGATACTTCCGAGGAAGTTCGGACCGCAGGAAATCGGGACAATCGGACATACAGACATACAGACACACAGAAGTACAGACATCCGAAAATACAGAAACCGGACATTCGGTCATACGGATATTCAGACATCCGAACATCCAAAAATCTGACATTCGCACTTCTTCACATTCGAAATCTGGATGACCGAACACACAGACAGACAGACCAACAGACAAACACGGAACCCAACACCTTTTCAATATCCCAAAGTTATCTCATATTCAAAATTTTTATCAATAGAGCATAATTGCATTCAAAATGATATCACCTCCTATTTTTCCATTTTTCCCATGATCAAAAAAAACCCCCCGGTGGCCGGAACTCTATTACTGCTTCCGGTTCCTGTACTTTTTATCACTAACACCTCATGACTGATTGACGTCATCTTTCAATTTTCCAGATGATCTCAATGGGTCGTTTCGGAACAGTCTATCGAGCAACATGGACCGATGAGGATGGATCAGAGAAGTATGTGGCCGTCAAGAAACTTCCAGAAACTCAAAGAAAATGCTATGAGGCGGAGAAAATGATATTCGATACACTGGCCTCTTATCCCAAATGGTATTCGTGTGTTGTTGGGTTCAAAGCGGCACAAAAAGTGGGCAATGAGTATTGGATTGTGACGGATTTCCATGAGAGATTGTGTCTTTATGAACTTCTCAAGCATAATACTATCAGTATTGCATCGTGTGGACGTTTGTTGGTTTCAATGTTGGATGGATTACAATACTTGCATGATGACAGATCGTTCTTTGAGGATTACCCGAAGAAACCAATTATTCACAGGTAGGGTTGAGGAAAAGACAAAAAAAAACCAATAAAAAATGAGGTTGGTCGGAATCGAACCCGCGCCGAGAAATTCCAAAACGGCAGCGTTTACCACTACACCGCGCAGGCGATAAGAGGGAAGAGAGGGAGAGGGCGTAAAGGTTACAGTGGCCTCCTTTCTCGGCGCGAGGCAAGGCGGTTCGAAAAAAAATTCTAGAAATTTCCGAAAAACAATTATTTTTTCTTCAAATTTTTGTTTTTTGATAAAATACGGATAAAAACCGGTAAATTTTTGAAAAAAGAACATTTTATTCAAATATTGTCCACGCAGACTACACGAGCGGAGTTTTTTGCGCGGTAGTTTGAAAAAACGAATCGAATTTTTCATAATTTTTCGAGAAAATAATTGGCGGAACATGTTTCTGCAAAAGTTTTTTCTGAAAATTTTCGAAAATTTTATTTTTTTTTCGATTTTCTCGGCGAAAATTTATTCGCCATTTGAAACCGAAAAAAACAGAAAAAAACCGAAAAAAAAAACGGTTTTTAGTTGTATATTTTTATGTTTTTACCGCCTACTTATCCATTTTTCCTGACAAAAACCGAAAAAGTTCGCAAAAAATCGAAAAATTCCGAAAAATCATTTTTCGAATTTTTTCGCCCTGAAAAATTCGAGAAAAAAAGTTTTTCAATTTTTTCGGACCAAAATTTTCGAAAAAAAATTTTTCCGTTTTTTTTCGGAATTTTTTTCGCACAGCCCTGGTCTTAAAGCTTTCTTTTGTCGATAGGTAAATTATAGACTACAAAGACTACAAAGACCACAAACTAAAGAAAAACACGTGCGTCACTAACCCGGAAGCATTTTCAAAAAAGTGATCAGTCATAAAATTCTGCAAAAACTAATCTCATTTCACTTATCCCCTCATTAAACTAATGGATTTCTTTCGAAACTACATACATACATAAATCCCTGAGAGATAAAAATGAAGATAATGCCCTCACAAGAAGATTAAAAGTGGCTTCTTCTTCTTATCCCATCTTACTTTTATCACGTATTTTGCAGGGACATAAAAACGCGGAACATTCTCGTGAGAAGAGATATGACCGCCTGCATTGCGGACTTTGGATTGGCTCGTGTTTATGACAATGATCATGTCAAATGTGATCTTCTCTCACAGGTCGGCACGAAACGATACATGTCACCGGAGATGTTGGAGGGAGCTGTGGATCTTTCGCCCACTGGATTCAAGGCAATGGATGTGTATTCGATGGCTCTTTGTATGTGGGAAGTGATTTCTTGTACGAAGATCCATGAGAATGATGAGTCCCCCGAGCATAATGTACCGTACTTTGAAGTTGGATTCAATCCAAAAGTCAATGTTATGAGAGAGGTCCTCATCCAGAAAAGACGCCCGCAATGGAGAAAAGAAGTCTTTGAAAATGAGCAAACCAAAGCTTTCGTTAAAACTACTGAGGAGATGTGGGAGCACGAAGCCTCCGCTAGAATCACTGCTGGATGTGCATTGGAGCGAATTTGGAGTGTCATCCTGAAACAGTTACCACCTCCGCCACCACTTTCCGAGGGATATCATACGGAGAGCAGCGAGGATAGCACCACATCGATTCGATCGAATCAAAAACCTTATAATTTCATGGTTGACACGAGAGCATTAAAGATTTATCATATGGAAGAGGACGCTGAGCATCCGACACCAGATCCATATCTTAGTGATTGTCCACCGGTGCCACCAATTCCGGATGTTGTTTCGAATGGTGAGTTTTGGGGGGAATTAAACCTGGGCTGGGAAATTTGAAACTGGGAGCGCTAGCCACTAGGCCATGGGTGTAGAAGCAGAAAAAGAAGGGGAAGGGGCACAGATTGAGAGAAAGAGGCTAAAAACCCTGAAAAAAAACTGATTTACCTGAAACTTCGAATAGAACTTTCCCATACGGTAGGTTGCAAAAAGTTAGATGGCATCGCTTAGACTGTCAGCCTTAGCTTGTAGCAATAAGTGCAGCTCTAATAGAGGTTTTACAGCAGCATAGGGTAAACTGACAGATTGTATGCCTAAAAGGGAATTTACAGCTTCTATAGCTTTTTCAAAGTCTGGGAAAAATTTAACGAAACAAGAAAAAAAAGAAAAAACAATTTGCCACCTTCGGGGTTCGAACCCGCGCTGCAAATTTCGAAAGCAAGAGCGCTAGCCACTAGGCCATCGGTGCAACAGCTGACATAGAAGGAGAGGGCATACACATACCTTCTCCCTCTAGCTTGTCGCCGCAAGGGAACCTCTTGTCTGAATCTGGGTCAGAAGTTTATAGCGAATTTTGAAAAATTTTAAAAACATGCATTTAAAATTTTCCAGGTGTGATCCAACACGCCCCAGGAGCCGAACCAAGTGTCCAAGAAGAGGACGAAGGATGTGTCGACGAGAAGGAGAAACCCACTGAGACGGTCTTCAATGTAGAGATGGGAAGATACCTGACAGAAGGAGAAGTCATTGCTCAGGCTCTGAAGAAGTTACAGGGATCTCCACAGTACACTACAAGACAGGACTTCCAATACGATACAAGAGCATCCTCACCCACTCCGTCACATACTTTCTTTTAATTTTTTTTTGAAAATTAGAATTTTCTAGTCCAACATGTAATCCTGTTCAAAACACTCACTTACAAATCAATGGTCTCAATTCGTTTTTCAAAAAAACAAACCGGTGATAAAAACTCTCTGTCTAATATTTCCCCTATATCCCTGACACTCTCTGCATTCTCACTTTTTTCTCTCTTCTGAATATCCGGTAATTCATTTCTTATTGTACTTTCTCCACTCTCCTTCTCATTTCCATATGATCTCCTTCTATCTGTTCGTTCAACAACAAAAGAAACTACCTCTTTCATCCCTAACTACTACTCTAACCATTTATTGATCTGTGATTCTTTTTTTGGGGGGAGATGATAGTTTTCAGTGACTTTTCACTTCTGTATTTTAAACATGTATCTGGTACTGTATTTATTTAAAGCAAACAACCGAACATTTGTATATAAATCCTTATTTATTTAGATGTGTTTTATTGGTAAAACTTTTAAAAAAATAGAAGAAAACAGGTAAAGAGAAGAACAGAAGAACATAAAAACGAAAAATTGTATAAGGAAAAATTGTCCAAATTGTGGCTGAAAGATGCTTCAGGCGGGTTTCCAAAGGAAGGTCTCATCCCGCTTGGAAATTCTTCATTGTGATAGTTTGTGACGTTTTCGAAAAGAAAAAAGTGTTAAAAACAAAAATTGAACTCACTCCCGAAACTTCAAGCATTTTCACCGTTAACCACTACGACACGAAGGGTTCAAGACAGGGAGATAGAGCAAAAGGTAGTGACACAATTCATTTTCCTGTCTTTTCGGTTCTTTTTCCTCTGTTCTTCATATCGACTTAACACGGATAATAGGAACTGGTTTGTTCGATTTTGGAACCATCACGATTGGAGCAGCTGATTTCGGGCAGCAATTGGTTTCGAGTAGACCTTGAGAGAGTTGCTGAGTGAATGGTTACTTCGGAATAATCTTGACTGATGATGATATAACTGGGCATGGTCTCATGGCGATTGGTGCATCTAAATCTCCGCTAGCTGGTTTTTTGTCATGGAAACAGAATTCACAAGTTCATCAATCTTCTAATAGACAATTCCTTTTCAGTAGCTCGTATTCAATGCCATCATGCGATTAATTTTTTCCAGCTTGTTTTCCGTGGTTAAACTCGAAAGGAATCGCGATGAAAAAAGTTGAGAGAGATATTCTCCAAGGTTAACCGAGAGCTCGAGATTATAACAAATTTGAACCGCGAAAGTGGAATACACAGGAATATTATTGACTGGAGTGGGTGAAGAAAATAGGATAATCATGGTCTACGAGTGTACGAGCATCCTATCTGATCTGGATGTCTGTAATTCCGAATGTCTGAATATCCAAGTGTCTGAATGTCTGGATGTCTGGATGCCTGTATGTCTGAATGTTCGGATGCTCGAATGTTCAGATTTCCAGATATCCGAATATCCGACCGTCCAAATTTCCAGATGTCGGGATTTCTGTTTGTCTACTCACAAGCATTTTTTCTGTACAAGAATTTGAATGTCAATGTCTGAATATCAGGATATCCAAATTTCCAAATCATCAGGATGTTCAAATAACTCAATGTCTGTATGTCCAAATATTCGAATATCCGGATGTCCAGAGACTCTGATATCATGACGTCTGTACCTATGAGTGTCTGTGTGTCCGAATATCCGAATGCCCTAGTTGGCCGAAGTCCGGATGTTCGAGCGCCCTAATAAATGAACGTCCAATTCGAATTTCCTAGTGTTCCGATGACTTGCTGCTCCGAACTACCGAATAAATGTAAGTCTGTATGTCCGGATGTCTATGCGTCTTTCAAATCCTCATCCCAATCCTCCTTTCCATTTTCCCAGACAGACGGGGTGGCTTGTTGTCATCCATTCATTTTTTTTTTCGAAATTTCGTCAAGTGACAAAAAGCGAGGACCGACCGAAAGGAGATCTATTCTTAGTGAGTAAACGCAATTTGGCTCCTTCTACCCCTTTATTCTTTTTTCGTCTTCTTCTTCTTCTTGTTGTACATCAATCATATTTCACTCTCTCCCAATTCATCTTCTCTCTCTCTCTCTCTCTCTCTCTCTCTCTCTCTTCCAAATGTTGTTGTGTCAAATTGAGAAGCGTGCGAACGAATTCGATTGAGAAAAGGAGCTCTTCTTTTCTTCTTGTTCTTCAAGGGAAACATCTTCGACTGACTAAAAAAAGAAAGAAAGTCTCTGGAAATTCGAACTCTTCTTCAGGTTTTCTCTCTCTCTCTCTCTCTCTCTCTCTTTCTTTTTTTCCCCGGATTGTCAGTTTAGACACGCCCCTCTCCTCTCCACGGAAATGGGGCCTTTGAGTCTCGGTTTTCAAGATGTTGCCTTTCTTTTTTTTTGGTTTTCCTCCCTCCAGACTTTTCCTCTCTTTTTGTCGGTCATGGAGCCCCTTCTTTGAAGGAAAACAATACAATTTTTATGAGTTTTGAGTTGTTTCTCGAGTCCTTTTTTTCCAATTTTTTGGACTCTAAGTAGATTAGTTTTTCTTTTATGAGGGGAATGGTTTTTTTTTTTCGGCGGTAATTGGTTTTTGAAAGGGGATATTAGTTAGACTTTTCACTTATTTCAAAGTTAGACATGTCATCTTCCTTCAAATACCGTTAGGGTTCTAATAGAGATGGCCCCAATTCGGAGCAATCTTAATTTGCAGCCTTATATCTTGGCTGCCAAAAGAGGTACAAAAAAGTTTTCAACTGCAGAAATATTTGAGAACTTTTTGATATCTTTACTACCAACTAGGACATACGGCTCTGAAATTTTCTGAGAGTGAGTAGTCTGAAAGTAGCTGTCCCTATAAGTGAATCCCGGAATTTCTAGCTCGCACTGGAGCCTAAGAGTCTGGAAATCTAGACACTTAACCACGCCCTTAATGTTCAATGCATTGTCGAATTTTTGAAGTAGCAATCTCAAATGAAGATTTACAGACTCATAGAGTCGGGGCTAGAAGTTTTGGAAACCACTCGCAGGTATATCTGCTTTTGGACCCTAAATTTATAGAATATTTGGAACCCATGTGAGAGAAACATTCCCTTGTGAGGTTAGAAATTTTTGGAGCGCGATACCTGGGTTTCTGGGGAAGGTATAAAAAAGTTGACAACTGAAGAAAAATGTAAAATTGCTCTACCAGCAAGTTTTTATGAAAATTTGTTTTGGATATAACTGCTAAGATATGAAGCTCTAAAAAGGTGCACCTCAGATATTGTTTCAGCAGGAGGCGCATTCAAATGTGAGCTTGCGTGTCAGACAGGAAATCGGTCTTTTTTTAATATGGTGAACTGACTCCATACATCCTATTTTACGACAAACTACGTACTAACTCGCTCACCACAACACTTTCCTGTAGAACTGAAATTAAAAAGAGGACGGTGTACGGTAAACCAAGGCTGTCAAATCGGGCCTTTTACGGCCCCGGCCTTTTTTTATCTCGCTTTCTAGCGGTGGATTTTTTTGATGTCCAAGGCGGTTTTGTAGAGCATTTAGAGCCGTGCATTTCGGTAAAAAAAACACGGCCCGGTTTTCGTTATTCGCGGCATATTTATAGCAAAAAACTGCGGGCCGCGGCCGGCCGTCTGACAGCGTTGCTGTAAAATTAAGGTTGGGCCCCCCCCCCCCCCGTCGATTCTCTCGGCCCAGACTATATTAGTAAGTGTGCTCAACAGAATTTATCCACAACAGGAGCATATCCTCATTTTTGCTGTATTGTCAAACTGCCGTTCTATTAAAGGTTTTCAGGCTAGAACTACTTGCGTCCCCTTTTCCCCATCCGTTTGAAAAAACTAATTTCAATAATAATTGAGCATCATCTTCCGATCTTCTTCCTCTTTTTCTCCCATTATTCAATTTTCCCATCATCCATTTAATGGGAAGACGGGACTACTCTTCCCTTCTTCCATCTCCACCAATTGTTCTTTTTCCTCCTCTCACATTTCATCCAATTTTCACGTTTTCGAGAATAAGAGAGAGCTTTTTAGCCTTTTACTCTTCCGTTTTAGTGAAATTGTATTATTGAGAGATGGAATTGAAAGTCGATTTATATAGGAATAGATTAATTCGTTTGAAAGCTTAGCTTTTGATAATTGAATATGGAGCTGAGCATGGAACCACAAGATCAGATGGGGTACAAATTTTAGACAAAATTGTGATTATTTGTGGGAAGAAATAATTAAAATAGCGTTTGGATTTGGATTATATATTATGATTGAAAATAGTAGTTACCTTGTTCTTTTAACCCAAAATTAAACAGAAAGAGAGTTACTGGATTCAGAAATTTTTGAGCTTTGGAACTGTCTGCAAGAGCTTTTTACAGTATTCCTTTTTCTAACCAATCTAAAACAATAACTTACCAGTTTGCAGTATTTTATCTTGACTTCTAGGATAGATACGGAGAAGTTGTCAACTGATGAAATATGCAAAATTGCACGATGAAAAACATTCTAGTTAATGACTTTTTGATATCGCCGCTCCTAACCGATATATACTGCTTCAAGTAGAAGCCGTCAGTTGGCCCACTGATTTTTGGGTTTTTGAAACTATAGTAACCAAGCAGGATTGTATCTGCTTGTAGATTTTTGATGTTGTTTCTCTA